AGACCTGCAAGACTCGAGGGTCGCTGGTGCCCCCGACCCAACAGGCAGTATGACGAAGACAGTATGGATGATTGGTTCCCTGAGGCAGGGGGGCAACGAACAACTTTTGACTTCGCATAAGGTGAGAGTGGGCTTGAAAAAAGTAGACATTGTACGACCGAGCCCACAGGGGTTTTTCCAGAGCCTATAGGGTAAATTAGCCCTATGGGAAGACCAGGCACTGGGGGCTAGCTATGCTGGTAGAACCCTGTCAGGTAGCAGGCAAATTGACCACCAGTAACAGCTATGAATCCTCGGGGGAAACAGAGGAGGACTACCAACACAACTTAGGCTTGCCTAATAGGAAGCTAAGCAGACCTCATCCATCTAAACAACGTGAGAATGCCAGTGAACGAAAAGAAAATGAAACCAGAACTCCCCGAAGATACATAACAAACAAATTGGCAGTCAGAGAGACACATCAGCTGCTGCGTGGAAGTAAAGCTAGCTGCGCCAGCCGCAGTGTGCCCCACCCAGCCAATAACACTCCCCTACCCGGGGTAAGAGGGAAAGCCCTAGACCCCCAATGTACCCCAAGGATGAAAAACAAAACCAAGCGATGAAATCCGCAAACGGAAAGTGATTCCTGAACGCCTCAGGTAAGGTTACCCTGACATGCAAGGGCAGTACTCACGGAGCACCAAGGTAAAGTCACCCTAGGTGCATGCTGCTCCTGTACACTAAGACACCTGGCCTCCACACCAACACATAGCTGAGACAGCTACACAAGGCTAAAACCAGAACAGGAACTTAAGGCCAAAGGTGACCGATCTGACCACTTGCACATCAGTTCAAGAAATGGAGTGGTGGGGCTGCCGGCTCCCCCCACTTGTGTAGCGCTAATGAGCTGAAGTGATAGCTGCATGAAGTGCAGTTGGTTGGTTCTTTCTATGGGTTTTATTTTTATCTTTTGGGATGTAGATTGTAGAGGTTAACCTGACAGTGGTCTGTTTTAATTCTCCTACGTTTCTGGGACCTTCCCTGGTCGATGGCAATTATGACATTCTGTACTGTAAATGTAAAGTGTTCAGAGACCATTGCTCCCTGCTCCTCTGACCAGGTTCTGACTCTGATTGTGGTTCCTGGTAGGCTTAAGAACTCCAGTGACTGATAACCCCAAACTAATATGGCACATATCAGTTTGGATAGCTTCAGGGAGCCTCCGGGGCTCACCCACTAAATAGCATTTCATTACATTCAATGCTGGGTTTTTACCCAACCTGTCATTTCTGGGGGGAGCCCCTTCGGCTCCCCGGAGCTAACCGGGCTGATATGAATGTATTAGACCCTGGCATTAGTCAATGCACATGGAATTCTAGGCCTACCGGGGACCATGAGCCAGAACCTGGCCCCCTCAGAGAGGCACGGGGAGCAATAGGAGGGAAAAGGGGGAGCCCCAGACCCCTGTGCCGGCTATCCACACCCCAGTTCTGTGGCTGATGTGAACTGGCAAGGTCGTGGGCCTCTGGCTCCTGAGTTTTTCATTTCTGTGCCTTGTGGTGTGGTCCTGTCTGCTAGGTGGTGCTCAAGCCAGGAGTAATTTTGCAAGTACTTGGGCCACATGCGCCTAGGGTCCTTCCTTAGGTGCCCTGTAAGTATTGCCCTTGGGACTTGGGGCCATCTTCCACAAGTCACCTTGGGGTCTACCTCTGCCAGGTCTTTTGCTGCTCCGTGATTGACCACCCTTGAAGTGAGCTGTGGTGTTTCATGCACCATTGTTTGCCTCTGAGTAGGGGTTCGTTTTCGTCACTGGTTGGGGCACAGGGTACTGTGCAGCTAGTTGTCACCTCTCATAGTGGCCGGCTCAGTTCCACCAGGGCACGTTGTCCTCTTGCAGGGTTTTTCTTTTGTTTCTTGTTTTCCTGCCTGGTGGGGGTCTGTCCCTTGGTTTTGGTCACACTTGATTATATCTCAGTGGTCCTCCACTAGGCCCCCGTGAATGTACACATCCCAGGGGTTCATCTTTAGCAGTTTGCTTGGTAATCTTTGGTGCCGGTTAGCAGTATCCTGCCTGGGCTTCCCTTAGCAAGATATGTGACTAAAGGCCCTGAGAAACCTTGCAGGGGCTCTTTGGTTTGATGGATGCAATCCCAGGATCCTCCTCTCGCTTCGTGCGAGTTTGAAGGTTGCTCTGTCCCCTTGTCTCAGGGTGACAATCACTGGTTGTGCCTCCGTCATGCTGCCTGTTGGGTCAGTGACACCTTTGACCCACAGTCTTGAGAGTAGTGTTGCTTGCATGTTCTCCAGTTCACCCAGGCTAGTGATCTTGTTATTCGGGCGCAGGCAGCTTTGGCATTGCATGCTTGTCTTAGGTTGCTGCTCTTGGCCCCTTGGTGGCGGCCCTGTCTTGGTTTCAGGCGCTGCTTGCTCGGTGTCCAAACCTGAGGGTCTTCCCACGGCTCCGACTCTTTCAGCAGGTCGGCCCGTTCCATTATATGGTTGATTCGCTCTTCTCCTCAAGTCTTCATGTCTGGTCTTTCTGACTCCTATCACCACTTGTATGGTGAGCAGGTGGCTTTATTGCTGGTGTCCCACCTGTGTGCTTTGTCTCAGCGGCAGTATAAAGTTTCCTGACGGTCTTTCCGTTATTTCTTATCCCTTTGTAGGTTTCCTTATGTCTCTGATAGGGTTGTCTTGTCCTTCCTTTTGTGGTTGTTCCAGGACCTCGTCTGTTGCCTCGTATCGCCTCATCTGTTGCCTCGTATCGCCTCGTCTGTTGCCTCGTATCGCCTCGTCTGTTGCCTCGTATTGTGCGGTGCTGGCAGAGCCGTTGCAGCTTGCGTTCGGCATTGATGTTACTTCTGCACCTGTTCCACAAGCTATCTCGTGCGTTGTTTCACCTGAGGCCTGCTCATGCCCCACCTGAGCCGTCCTAGTCTTTGGATCGGGTGCTCTCCTTTCTCTCTTCTCCTCAGTTTGTGGTGGCCCCTTCAGTTCGTGATTGTTTTTCTAAGGCTCTTTTTTTTTTCCTGCTGGCATTGGCCTCTAGGGGTCGGGTTGGGGAGCTTCATGCTCTCCTCTGGCGCAGGGGTTTCTGCTCTTTTGATCCTGGTGGTAGATTTGTTCGTTTGCAGCCGTCTCCTTTTCTGCCGAAGAATGAGACTGCTGCTTTCCGGAGGGGTCCTTGGGTTGTAGATGCTTGGTTGGTCCGGCTGGGAGGGCATCATGTGTTGTGACCGGTTGCGGCTCTCTGCCGTTACCTGTGCGCCATGACCTCGGTGGCTGGGGACGCATTTTGGGTTGACTTGGTTTCCACTTCTTTCCTGTTCCTGGGTTCGGGTCTCCCAGATCACAGGGTTATTCGGTACAGCCAGCCTGCGGTCTATCCTCATTCCCAGAACATTTGTAAGTTTCCTGCGTTGCCTGCCGTCTTCGGTAACATGTCTCAGACAGACATTTGGGCACAGGGTTTTTGGAGGTCGAACAGGGTCCTGGTTGCTCGCTACCTTGTCAACGTGTCTCTTTGAGGGGGGCCAGGATTTGGCTTGTGGTCCCTGGTAGGCTCAGAACTCCATGTGCATTGACTGATGCCAGAGTCTAATACACTCATATCAGCCCGGATAGCTCCGAGGAGCCTTAGGGTCTCACCCAGAAAATGGCGTTTCATTACATTCGACGCTGGTATTTTCTTGTAGTTGTGACAGCTACTTTGTTCTTCTTTAAAAATAAGGTCTTCTGACATGATTACTCACAAATCTTTTACAGTATATTGCTTTTTGTTCTGTAGTGTGATTTGGCTGCATTGTATATGTGCTTTTTCATATTTTCATTTTTTCCACATTGCTGGATCTGAAACTTACTTTCATTAAATTAAACATCATATTATTTTCTGAAACCCATTGAAAGGCCTGATTTACATCAGTTTTGAGGTCTGCTGTGTTTTCTATATTGTCTACTCTCATAAAAATCCTAGTTTCATCTGCAAAGGTTGATGCAGTCTGTGTCCTTGTAAATGTCCAATATAAAGATGAGAAAAAGTACTGGAGTAGGAAGAGCACCCACTCCCACATCATGTTGCCACACATAGCCCCTCCTACATAACCTTGCCACACATAGTCCTACCCCCTCATCACCCTGCCTCACACAACCCCACACAGCCCCCCCCCCCCACATAACCTTGCCACACATAATCCTACCCCCTCATCACCCTGCCACACACGACGCCACATAGCCCCCCGCCCCCACATAACCTTGCCACACATAGTCCCACCCCCTCATCACCCTGCCTCACACAACCCCACACAGCCCCCCCCCCCCACATAACCTTGCCACACATAATCCTACCCCCTCATCACCCTGCCACACACAACCCCACATAGCCCCCCGCCCCCACATAACCTTGCCACACATAGTCCCACCCCCTCATCACATAGTCCCACATAGCCCCCACCCCCATATCACTTTGCCTGTCCATCCCTATTCATCCAAACCAAAGTCTTGACCCTGAATTGTAATAGTCTTCTATGTTCCTATTTTTTCTAAATTAGATTTGTGGTGTGCCAGCATTCCGGTCATGTTAGATCCTCTCAAAACGACCCTCATGTGGCTTGGGCTTCTATTACTTACCAACCCTTAAATACTTTCCACCTTATCCAGGGCTTTCCTGCCATTCTCAGCCCTTTGCTTAGGCAGAGTTTCATTGGTTACTTTAATCAGAGTTTAAGCAGGTTAATTGAGGTTTAGATTAGTAAAGGGTGACTTGGTCTTGATTTACTTGATACTTTAAAAGAGTGAGAGTGTATTATGGGTAGGAGATGAGGGGAAGTAGCGGCTACCGTTACCCTGCCACGTGTATACTACTTCACCCCCTCCTTCCCCCTCTGTCTTTTCTTTATTGTGTATGAAATATAAATGAATCCTATTTTATGTCATTACTGGAGGGCAGAAGCCAAGCCAGTGTGTGTGTGTGACGCTATTGTAAATACTTGCTCCGTATCTTTGGTCGGGGCTGCTCCCCTTAGAATCGCCTCCCGCTCCCCGACCACTGCCGGCCGCTGGTAGCAACACCGCCCACCACCACCACCACTACCACTTGCTTCTTCTCCCGACCAAGAGAGAGGGAGGTAGAGAGAGAGTCAGTGATGGGGATGTCGGGAGAATGGTTGCAGGTTGGTGACGTGCTCTTTTATTGTGTGTGTTGCAGTGTGGGTGAAGGAGGGAGGCAGGCTGTGATGGGGGATGTCGGGAAAATGGTTTCAGATTGTGACGTGCTCTTTTATTGTATTTACTATTTGTGTCTGCAGAATCGAGCTATTAGCTCTTGGACCCCGCCTTTCTAACCCAAGGCGGGGTCCTAACCTGCAATCACATGCCTAATTGTGTGTTGCAGTGTGGATGGGGGAGGCAGGCCATGATGGGGCTGTCGAATAAATGGCTGCAGGTTGGTGATGTGCTCTTTTGTTCGGTGTGGGGGTGTGTGCGTTTATTTAGGAATGATGGAGGCAGCAATTCAGATGTTGTCAAAAACGTTGTAAGACAATAATGTGCACATTTACTGCATGTGGGGATTGGAGGATGAGATGCAGTGATGGGGATGGTGTTGATAGCAGTTATAGGCTGGTGATTTGCTCTTTCCAGAGTGAAGGTATGAGGGTGAGGGTGGAAGACTAGGAGAAAGCTGAAGAATAATGTGAGTGTGGGGTAAAGAGGTAGGAAATGGTGAGGGTAAAGGAGGGAGGGAGGGAATTGTGGTGGTGGGTGAAGATAGATGGAGAAGGATTCAGGCGGGAGAAGACGTGAAGAAACGATATGGGTGAGGAATACAAAATAGGCTAGTTGGAGAATGAGGGGTAGGTGATGTTAGATACAGTATAACAGCGGAGTGTTGAGGTGGGAGAGCGGAGTGTTGAGGTGGGAGAGTGGAGTGTTGAGGTGGGAGAGTGGATTGTAATGGGAGAAGGTCTAGATGGGTAAGGTTAGTGTGGTTGGTAAAGCTTGAGGTGGGAGACAGGATAATATAATGTGTGTTAGATTTAGGGTGGAAGACAGGATATAATTCACAATAATAATAATTCATTGTGTCAGGGGACAGGAAGCCAGAGTGTATTCATGCACATTAGGCTTTACACATCCCCAGGAGTCAAAGTACCGACCCCGCCCAGGATACAACCCCACAACAAGCTGAGTAACTCCTGAGTACCTACTTACTGCTAGGTGAACAGGCTCACGAGGTGAAAGGAAATGTGCCCAACAATATCTGTCCCGCCCGGGATTCGAACCCGGAATTTTCGATTGTGCGTCGAGAGGGAACCAGACTGTACTACCGGTACCCCGATATGTAAGGTTGGTAAGGTTTAGGGGGTTGGGGGGAAGACAGGATAGTATATTATGTAAGGAATGGAGGAGGGGAGAGGTCAGTAGGTGAGGGGGGGAAGACGGGTGAGAGGACGCACGTCTGCTTTTCAGTGTGGGGTATTCTGCACATCCTGCCTTGCCTCCTGGTCTCATGTGGAATTATGTCCATGTGTAGATTTGGGACCAGCCCCTCTTAATATTTTCCAAGTGTAAATTATTATGTATCCCTCACACCTGCACTCTAGAGCAGGGGCTCCCTAACTCTACGGTTATTAACCTTTTTTTATATAGTGCCCTTATTAATGGCCCCTACACTCATAATAAAATTTGTTACTAATTTTTTTTTAATGTTATTCTTTCTTTCTTTGAGTATGATACATTAATCATTATTAATGGAACCAAATCCCTACATATTGCAACAAGTCCCTCAGGCTGTCATGGCTCCCAGTTTGGGAACCAGCACTCTAGAGAATACAGATTTAAGCAATCTAATTGGTCCCTACTCCTGTTATCACCACTATCTGCCCCCCCCCCCATAACCACCACCATCCCTATTATCATCACCAACCACCACCACTCAACCCTGCTTGCCCCCCCCCCCTCCCTGTTATCACCACCAAAGGGGGGTGAGGGGGTTGCTCGGTCATTGGTTACCAGCCAAGAATCTCTGGTTTAATCACAGTGGTAGGACGGAAGCATTTGGATAACGTTTCCTTTCACCCTGATTGCTCTGGTCACCTGGATGTAAACAATGCCTGGGAAGTTAGACAGCGGTTGTGGGCTCCATCCTGGGAAAGGCCAGTAGTTGACCTAATAGATAACACAAACACACAAAAGACAGGGAGAAAGTGAGAGAGATAGAGAAAGTGAGAGAGAGAGAGAGAGAGAAAGTGAGAGAGAGAGAGAGAGAGAGAAAGAGAGAGAGAGAGAGAGAGAGAGAAAGTGGAGAGAGAGAGAGAGAGAGAGAGAGAGAGAGAGAGAGAGAGAGAGAGAGAGAGAGAGTTAGAGAGAGTTAGAGAGAGAGGGGGGGACAGGGAGAGGGAAAGAGACAGACAGGGAGAGAGAGAGAGAGAGGGACAGGAAGAGGGAGAGGGGGAGAGAAATAGAGGAGAAGAGGGAGAGAGAGAGAGAGAAACAAAGAGGAGCACTACACCAGTTGATTGACAGTTGAGAGGCGGGACCAAAGAGCCAAAGCTCAACCCCCACAAACACAAATAGGTGAGTACAAATAGGTGAGTACACAGTGGAAAGAGAGAGGTTCACAATGAATGCCACTACACCAAGAGAGCATGTATGAAAGCTTGAGAAATAGACAAGCCATCGATATGTTAGAAAGGTTTAAAATTGTGGTAAAATGGAATGCAGCTTATGGGTCCTAACTGTGATTAATGAGTGTGTGTGTAGCTTATGGGTCCAAACTGTGATTAATGAATGTTGTGTGTAGCTTATGGGTCCTAACTGTGATTGATGAATGTTGTGTGTAGCTTATGGGTCCTAACTGTGATTGATGAATGTTGTGTGCGCAGCTTATGGGTCCTAACTGTGATTGATGAATGTTGTGTGCAGCTTATGGGTCCAAACTGTGATTGATGAATGTTGTGTGCGCAGCTTATGGGTCCTAACTGTGATTGATGAATGTTGTGTGCGCAGCTTATGGGTCCTAACTGTGATTGATGAATGTTGTGTGTGCAGCTTATGGGTCCTAACTGTGATTGATGAATGTTGTGTGTAGCTTATGGGTCCTAACTGTGATTGATGAATGTTGTGTGCGCAGCTTATGGGTCCTAACTGTGATTGATGAATGTTGTGTGTAGCTTATGGGTCCTAACTGTGATTGATGAATGTTGGTA